AATATGAGATGCACTAATGTTTAATAAGCAATATTTATTGCACTTGATGGCTGTAACCGCTTTTCTTTGGTCTATAAAACGAATTTTATATCCATTTTTTTTGTGTTGTTGCTGTTTTGTCCCCCTCCCGCGACCATGATTCTTTGCGTTTAAACAATAGATTGTTTTGATGTGACGTCATTATGAATAAGGGAAATTCAGACCTCGTTTTGTTTTGTTCGCTATGGTGGTAGAAAATTTGAACTACTTTTGAGGTTCTTGACACATGTCATTGTTTGTATAGTGGTAAACATATTGGCAATATATTAAACTTTATTAAACAGTGAAAACGACAACCTTAACTTTTAATTACTTTGCTTAACTTTTGCAAACTTCTCTCGTTTGACTGCGGTTAACCAGCCTGTTGACCTGCAGATTTGTTCCCAGTGGGGCGGGGTGGGGGAGTTCGGCTCCCATACTGAACTGACAGCAGGGGGGCTCGGCTGTGGCCCTAAAAATGACTCCTAAAAGGTACTGTATGTTGACTGAAAAGCTGATCGAGAGTGATATTTTTGTACTCTGCTTTACATGAAAAATCAATTGATTGACTTATTGGCATCTGGTTACCGATTTCAGAAGTGTCGTGAAGAATTCGACATGTTTTGGTTGTCTGCACATTGTAGCGCTTAATTTGTTGTTACTAGACGAGGTACTAGTCGAACACATTTACTATAATGTTTTGCATGGAAAAAATGTTGTTTGTATACCAAACGGGGAATCGGTAACCGTTAACTGAAAGTCTGAAATCGGTCACCGGTAACTGAAATGCTGAAATCGGTAACCTGTCACTGAAATTCTAAAATCTGTATCCGGTAACCAGATTCCAATTAGTAATCAATTGACACCCTAAATGGTACCAAGTTTACTATAAATTTTTTTTTTCAACAGCTCCCCTAAACGGTACCATATCTGGAATTTTACACCATAAATGGTACGGCTGAGCCCCCCCTGTCAGTTTAGTATAGGCCCTCCCCCCCTCCCGAGTAAAAAAATCAATACTTACTACATCCAACCGATTATTAGGATTTTCCAACGTATACTGCACAACAGCTTCTTCAACCAGAGGGCTAATGACGGATACTTCTTTCAAATCGAATCCTGGTGGTTTCAAACAAGACCAGGAAAAGGTTGATGGTGACCACCTCATTTCAAAGATATCAATATCCTTGCAAGTACTTATCATCGCTAGTGATTGGCTATGTTCGAGGAACATAGCCAATGTGTGCCAGCACGTCGGTGTGCCCGGGGACAATTCCTGCTCAGTTTGGATATCCTGTAATATGACAAATATGAACGTTACAAATCATAAATGTAGTTGGTGATCAGAAGGCTATCATCAATCTCCTGCAAGTACTCGTTATCCGAAAAATTCGCAAAGCGACGCGACATTCGAGAGTATACCAAGATAGCTTTTTTTCATTAAGTAAATTTTCCTTTGTCTACTCACCGCTTTTTCAAACTTAGAACTCCTTTATCTGATACAACAATGAAATAAAAAAGGAAAACTGAATAACAAAGGCACAAAAATCGCGCATTTTTTTCGACCGAGCGTGCAAAAAAATCGTATATACGCGTCTGATTATCCTGCGTCGGAGCGTATGAAATTCTCCTGCGCAGCTAACGTATACGCGAGCGGTACTGTACATAGAGTAGTGAGGCCTTTTTCCACACCGTCGATTGAACCCTCCGATTGGATTGTCGTTGCAGTTACAGTACCGACTAGAACTAACCCCCACTTCACATGCAAACATCAGGGCAAACATAAGCAGACCCAGAATCGCGAATAAGACACCTTACTTATGGATCCAGAGGCTCAAAAACTCGACCCTATTAGGCGGCACATACCTATATAGCTTATATATGGGCTTGAAGTTTGGATGGGTTCACTTCAGAAAGGATGGTCTGTTCAGGTCTGTTTTTGGTGCAATTTTAGTGGGGGATAGTTCTTGTCGGTACTGTATGTGGGAAAAATTATTGCGCCACATGTATTTATCAAACATATACAAACCTGCATATCGTTAGAAAAATATTAGTTGTTCACATGTTCTAGCTGAAAATTTACATTGCCGAAAATTCTAGAGAATAAAATGTGACTTTTCCGAAAAATTCTGTCCAAAAATTTCTAGGTCACCTTTTTACTGGGATACCTGTGGTAGCCCAGTCATAAAATGCCTTTGTTTTTTTGTCGTCTTTTTTTTTTTTTCCTCCGCCACAAAATGGAAAAATTGCGCAATAGTACCCAGAGGTCATTGGGCCCTCAACACCATGACAACTAACTGTGATCCAATGAGGTGTTCACATGCTGATCACGCGTGCTATCTTGATGATGATTGACGTTATCATGCACGTACAGGGCCGGGTCACATGACGAACACGAGATTTTTGCCTATAAAACTATTTTGTCAGTCGTTTTGTATTTCAACGTAATTGGATTACGATCATCTGGAGCATTATGGGGCAAACGCTCAAAATACTTAGAGACGCATACACAAGTCGTATTGTTCGCGGCCAATCCACACAAAAAGATGTTATTGAGCGGTAATTTTGGATCGGACAGAATCGCGAACGCTTGAAAGCCATGAAAGCATTGAATGCCTTGTATGTCTTGTATGCCAAGTATGCCAATGTCTTAGTTGAAAACGTAAACTCGTTGTAAAAAGCAAAATCTGAAATCTGAAACCAAACTGCATATACTCTATGCAATCTATTGAACAACACTACTACCGTGAGACTGAAGAACAAAATTCAAATGGATGCAAACTGCTAGTGAAGAAAGACGCCATGTTGGATTCGCTTGATGCTAGGGAACGTAGCTACGATAACAGTGCGAATGGTATTAATTTCACGATCAGAAAGGTGAATCTTATGTTTGTTTTCATTGTAGTTGTATGGATATTCTTTTTTAATAAATACATGATCCAAAATCCCGTGTTTTTTGTGTATAATGTTATTATGTCAAGTATTGTTTACGCAATTGTCTTGTCACAGGCGACCCAAGGTCACGTTTCGAGAAACAGCCAACGATTAATTCACGAACGCGTCACGCGTTGTGTGACTCAGAGTAAGTTATTCTAGGAACCGTTGAAAATTTGAACACGTTATAAGGAATAGTATAGGGAACGAAATATGGTCGATTTACAACGATAAATATTTCGAAATATGAAGATTTTTCTTGAAAAATCAATAAAACATACTCATACCCTGTGTATCCGTTGTAGTTTCTGGCGATTGTTGCCGTTTTAAGCTTGCTTTACCATCACTATTATTCACGTCATCTACTTTTATTACATTGGTAAAATCTGTACAGACATCACACCAACCAACTCGCGCGCAAAGTAAGAAGACTATGTTGAAGGCTTGAAATTATATCACGATCGATTTTCATCAAGAAATGGGCCAGGAATTTTCCAC